AGTTTTTCTTTAAGTATGAACTCAAAGTTTGCATAGGCTTCGTTTACATCATTTGCTCTAAAAACGCCCTGCCAAGCACAATCCTGAATTTCTTGACGATAGTCAGTGAGCTTCTGATCTGAAAGTATGCGAGATGTTACTTTTTGGTTTTCCCTTGGATTCGGAAACTCATTCAGAAGCTGGGGAACTGATAGTGTTTGAGCATAATGATCACTCACTTGTCAACTCTGTTACTCAAAAAGTCTGAAAAGTTACCGAAAAAGTTATCAATAGAGAGTTCTCGTGCCGTCCAAATTTCAAATTTCGTAACGCTATTTGACAAGTACGACAGTTCTTACGGTATTAGCGTTAGCGGAGCCCGCTATCTAACGGAACTTACCGGATGCCTTACCGTAACGCTATGCTATGTCAAAACTAGTTGACGCTCCATTTATGTCTGCAAAAACAGCAACTTCTAATAATTCGTCCATAAAAAACACCAAGGAAAAATTAATGAAGCTCAGGAATCTTCAGAATAAATAGAAGTTAGAAAAAAAGCAAAAAAAGTGGGGTTAGATCACTCAACTCAATGTAAACAGAATAAGGGATTAGAGGATTTATGTGTCTTCGTGCCCGAGAACTATAAAATACCATGTGAAATACCGTATTGTTAGCGTTACCGTATTAGCTTATTGTCTGACGCACGAGAACTTTCTAATACAAGATATTTTATTTTTGTTTGGTCTTGTTATGTCAAATGTCAAATATGGTTTGTTGAAAATTGAAATAATTTGAGAGATCTAATATTCCCTTGTGTCAGCCTCACTATTTTGCTTAAAAGTGCAATTTATATTAAAATCTCCCCCCCTAGATAATCCTATAGTTTTTAAAGTTTGAACAAATTTTTTAAAATAAGGTTTCCAGAACTAGGAAGAACAACTGAAGGTCTCTCAAACAGGATCCGTAAAGACATATCACGATTTGGTTCCTCGTTTTACTAATGACTGCTAATGCCTCAATATGTCCTTCTATGCAGTAGTTCTTAATGTCTTGCAACTCTTCAAAATCCTCGATGATTTTATGGATTAGGATGCACGTATCTCCCCGTTTTTTAATGGATCTTGCAGAACAAGCTTTTAGAGAGTAATCACTAAGAGTAATATTCATTTCTTTACCTGTGTTCCGTTAGACATATGATGTGTGGTCTTGTACCCAAGTTATCTAGTTGAACCTCCAATTCTAACGTTTTTTCGAGCACTCCTTGTATGTTTAGGTGGAAAGTATTAATGTGTTCGTATTTTTGTTACCTTTGCACTTTTTGCTTTTAACTGCATTGTGTAGAAGTCCATGTAGTTTTTGAACTAATGAGAAAAATTCACAACTGAGTGAATCAGGTTAGTATTGTACTTGAAGAACATATTGGTGAATAGATGGCTGGGTCCACCCATAAGGTCCGCAACAACCCACTCGTTTGTACTTGAATAACTTGTCACATTATATTCCTAGTTTGGTAAAGTAACATTACTAGTTCCTGTTAAAAGGCAAATTGACAAAAAGTAGATAATCTTACGAATTCTGACTTTATATAATAAGTTATTGTTCAAGTACAAATAAGTGGATTGTTGCGGAATTTATGGGTGGACCAGCCATCTACTCAAGGACGTATATAAGGTGGGGTTTTGGGGGTTCAAAGCCCCCCCATTGAACTGAATGAATTATTTTGTTAAAGAGAAATATACGTTTTTGGGCGTGGCACCCGAAAAAAGTTTTCGCCTTCGACGATATCCTGAGTTGTAATAAGCCAGGTTACCCATACATCTTCTGGTCTAAAATTGAAACTAGGGTTTCCAATTTGCGGGATCGGGATCCCGTTTCGAGATCCCGGGATTAAAAAACTAGATCTCTGGATTAACCCCAATATATTTTTTCGAATCTATAACACCACATCATGAAAGGAAGGAAAGTAACAGATTTTTTTTTTGCCTGTTTACTACTGTTTACTAATCTTCTACTCATAACTCACAAGATACAAGACTAACCAACATCGGTAAAGAAAAGAACTATAAAACTGAGCGTTGCGCCATACAGGAATTGAGGAGTCATGTAACCTTTTACATACGTAAATTACCGGGGCAAAGCTAAATAACACGCGGATAAAAAAAAAAGGAATAAAGCAGATTGGGATTCGATCATTTAAAAAAATCGGGATTTTCGGTATCCCGATTTTTGTATCCCGGTATTTTTGGGATGAAAACTCTACCGGGAAGCCGGGATTTCGGGATCCCGGATTGGAGACCCTAATTAAAACCCCTTCCAGCATAGACCACGAGCCGCCACTGCTCTAAACCCCCCTAAAAGTTATAGCTACGTCGTTGCATCTACTCATCAATATACTGTTGAACTGTTCAAATAAGACACTCACCTGAAACGTATAGTTTTTGAACTAATGAGAAAAATTCACAATTGAGTGAATCAGATAAGTATTGTACTTAAACAACATATTGATGAATAGATGGCTGCGGGACGAGCGCAGCGAGTTTTTAAATTAATGAGAATAACTGACATTTGAGTAAGTTAGGTTAGTATCGTACTTAAACAACATATTGGTGAATAGATGGCTGCGGAACTCGCTGCGCTCGTCCCGCAGAGATCCACCCATAAGTTCCGGAACAATCCACCCGTCTGTACTTGAATATCTTGTCACATTATGTTACTAGTTTCGTAAAGTAACATTACTAATTCCTGATGAAAGGCAAATTGACAAAAAGTAAATAATCTTACAAATTTTAACTTTATATAATAAGTTATTGTTCAAGTACAAATAAGTGAATTATTGCGAAACTTATGGGTGGACCTCTGCGGGACGAGCGTAGCGAGTTCCGCAGCCATCTATTTATCAATATACTGTTGAACTATTCAAATAAGACACTCACCTGAAACGTGTAGTTTTTGAACTGATGAGAATAACTTACATTTGAGTAAGTCAAGTTAGTATCGTACTTAAACAACATATTGGTGAATAGATGGCTGCGGAACTCGCTGCGCTCGTCCCGCAGAGGTCCACCCATAAGTTCCGCAACAATCCACTGGTTTGTACTTGAATAACTTGTTACATTATGTTACTAGATTATTAAAGTAACATTACTTATTCCTGTTAAAAGGCAAATTGACAAAAAGTCGATAATCTTACAAATTCTGACTTTACATAATAAGTTACAGCTCAAATACAGGGTGTTTTCTTATATATTGACACCCCATTTACAGCCTTTACCTTTACAGGTAGATGAAAGGTGTAAATACAAAAGTTGTACAGTATTGGCTAAATTTTTGAAATCCATGGTCGGAAACAAAAATTGAATGTCAGAAATGTGAAATGTTGCATGCTTTCAGCTTTTTTCGAATGGCATGCCCCATATTTGGTTTTATATTCTTGAAGAGCACAATTTCCCGATTCCAAAACTATATAGTTTGTCTATATTTGGTTGAGCCGTCTCCAACATATTTGGTTCTTAAAATTTTAAAAATACTATCAGAGAAACCAAGTGCCTCAAATTTTACTTGCAGCTTTCACTTGTATGTACAGGTAGAATGATTCACAAAATCAGTAGTAAGATAGTATTTTTACAATTTTTGGAACCGAATATATGAGAGACTGTTCAATCAAATATAAACAAACTATATATTTTTGGAATCGGGAAATTGTGCTCTTCAAGAATATAGAATGAGATACAGGGGATCCCATTTGGAAAAATCTGGAAGCGTTAAAAATTTTACATTTCTGACATTCAAATTTTGTTTCTGACCATGGTTTCTAAAAATTCAACCAAAACTGTATTTACACCTTTCTTCTACCTATAAAGGTAAAGGCTGTAGGTGGGGTGTCAATACATAAAAAAAACACCCTGTACATGAAACCTTTATTTATCTCACCCTTAATTTTATGTCACTATTAATTTATTATCACAAAATCTTTTTATACTGTTTATTGTTTGTAAAAACTTGACACTATGATGTACAGAGTGTTTCCTTATATTTTGACTCCTACCTACAATTTTAACTATACGAAGTGGAAAAAAAACTGAAAGTTGTAGGGTTTTATGTCTATTATCTTTTGCGAATGTCAAAATGGGTAAATGACAGGTGCCAACTGTCACATTGACAAACACTTGCATTTTTCGGGGTCACAAAAAAATCATCCAGAAGAAAACATTTTTACAGTTTTTGATGTTTTTCCAGAAAATTGTTAAGGAGAAAATTTGGAAACTTTTTAAGTGAGAAGAGAAAAACGAGTGAAAAGGAGCCCAATTTCAAATTGATCCAGTGAAAAAACATTAACATGGAAAATTCTCAAAAATTTCCTTTAGGAAACTGAATTTAACAGAAAGCTTTGAAAATCAGTAGAATTGTTCTTTCAATGCCCTCTGTAAAAAAAAACTAAATTAGATTGACATTGAAGGAGCAATTCATCAAACGCTTTACAAACCTAATGTTTTATTTGCAATTCCAATTACCCTTGCTTGCATATTTTACCTGTATATTTGTATTTTGCGGTTTTCAAATCGACTACTTGGCCTAAATGATATGTATTTAATACGAAAATAGTTGGTATTGGGCCTATAAATTGCCTCTATTTGTTTTTGTAATGTTGCCTGCATTAAAGATTTTTCCGCATTGAACAGCAACAATCCAAAAACACTGCAAATCAAATAAATTGGGCGCATTTTGAATTTGGATCCGACGTTTTCCATCAAGCGCTATCTCGAAACTCATTTATTTCCACCCGTGTGCTGTTTTATATTTTTAAACAAACCAAAAATATCAATTTCGGTAGTGATTTGTGTAGAGGGAGATTGATTTTTGTGATTGAAACCTTGTATATTTTTGATTGATTAATTAAGTGCGTAGGTATTACAAAGTTCGTAGAAGTGTCAAGAGATTTTTTTGATAATCCCCTGATTGCAATCCTATTTTTCTCCGCGTTAAAATCCTTGTCCTCTCTAAAGTATTTTTTCTTGTTTCAGATCCTCCAGAAATAATAAGCAAACCGAGAAATCAGCAAGTCAAAGCCGGCGGCGTCGCCGGCTTCTATTGTCAAGCCAAAGGCGATCCTCTGCCGCAAATTCAGTGGAGGAAAAACGGCAAAAAAGTGTCAGGTGAGTTTTTTTTCTGTCGGTGAAACGATTAAACGAACAACAATTCTTGTTTCGTGTATACCTACGTCTGGGGAAATCATGTTTCGTTTTATTTGTTCCAGCAATTACGATTTCATTTTGTTTTATGGTCCAAGAACCAAGATTTACTATTTATTGAATGAAAATTGTCAAAGTTTTTGAGAAATAGAAAATAACAACTAAAGATTTTAAAGTTTAATTGATAGTTGAAGTTTCCTTTCAATATCTGGAAAGGGGTGTAGTCATGTGCTGGATGAATACTGTTGTTATAGTTTAAAATTGCTATATCAATTAATTCTTGAATTTTTTGAAGGTTCGTACATGCTCAAAAATAATAGTCATTCATGGTGATGTTCTGTCTGACTCTGGCTCGCGGGGGGTTGCATGTATTTGGTCTTTCCTTCATTTATCCGTAGACCTATTCTCCGAGCTTTCTTTTCAATCTTTATGAAGTTTTCCTTTACACTGGCCGTGCTTTCTCCTACTGTTTGTCGTCCGCGTAAGTCAAAATAAGTTTGGGACCACCTGGACCAAAAACCTCTGCATTTACTGATGCTGTTCTGACAGCGTTTTCTAGTGCTAGGTTAAAAAGTACTGACGACAATGCATCTCCCTGTTTTAGACCTCTGTTAATGTAAGATGCTTGACTGTAGTCTCCGTGCCTTGACTATCTGCCTCCATCCGGAACGGTCAGGCGCACCTGAGCCTGGGAAATTTTTCGATACCGTGGGTAAATCTCTAGATTGGCGGCGCCTTTGATCTGAAATTTCGTGGATTTGACCTGGGCCAACCCCAAATTTTTTGACGTCATAATGTTATCGGTTGCGCCATTTAGCGTACATAGTGTGGAGTTCGATGTGTCCTATTACAGGATGCCGTAGTGGTAAATAAATAAAAATTCGTGAATCATCACGCCGCCGACGTTTAATGTAAAAACAAACAGGGGTATCATGTTTCACGGTTATTTTTACTTATAACTGATGTGTGTCCCATTTTGTATCAATACACCCCGATATCTCAGTTAATAATATTGCGATTTAATCCAAATTTTGGAGGTGATTGTATGTTAGAAAAATGAAGTATTTGACATAGTAAACATTTTCGTTTACCATTGGCGTGCGGTGTTGGGGGGTAAAAAGGGTTTGTCTTTTTTTGGGAAAAAGATATTAGGGCTTATTTTAGATAATTTTTTGTATCAGATTTCGATGGTCATTTCTTTCCATTCCTGGTGATCTACTCCAAGGGTGGCTATATCCTTAATGATGTTATCTCTCCATCTGAACCTAGGTCTTCCCAGTGGTCTTTTTCCTTGTGGCGCTTCCTCTCATACTCGTTTTATTAGACGATCGTTTTGGCTTCTTTGTACCAGCCCTGTCCATCTTAGTCAGTCATATTTTATTTCCTGAATGATTGATATATTTGGGCAAGTTCTACGTTGCTTCTCATTTTATAACGGCCGGATTCAGGGTCTATATATTATGCGCAGGATTTTTATCTTCTTAGGATCTCCGTATCGCGAACTTTCAGTGTCCATGTTTTACTGGCGTGGGTTGCTACTGGTCGTATTTGTTTGGTAAATAACGGTTTTGGCTTTTCTTGAAGGTTCGCACATGCTCAAAATTATAGTCATTCATGGTGATGTTCTGTCTGACTCTGGCTCGCGCGGGGTTGCATTTGGTCTTTCCTTCATTTATCCGTAGACCCATTTACTGATCTTCTTTTTCGATCTTTATGAAGTTTTCCTTTACACTGACCGTGCTTTCTCCTACTGTTTGTCGTCCGCGTAAGCCAAAATAAGTTTGGGACCACCTGGACCAAAAACCTCTGCATTTACTGATGCTGTTCTGACAGCTTTTTCTAGTGCAAGGTTAAAAAATACTGGCAACAATGCATCTCCCTGTTTTAGACTTCTGTTAATGTAAAATGCTTGACTGTACTCTCCGTGCCTTGACTCATGACCACTATAGAAAATGGTATAGTTCTCCATTTTGACATTACCTGACCCAGTCCATCTGATTTCTTGGAGTGCGGTTATATCCATGTTATATTTTTGGAGAGACTGGACCGTCATTGTTGCTGTACCTGGTCTATAGCAGCTTAGTACATTCCATGTTCCAATATTCATGTCTTTATTTCGTAGCTTGGATCGTCTCCTTATATTTTAAAGTAGCGAATGGTTAATAAATTGATATACTAATAATGTTTTCAGGTTCTCAAACACGTTACCAAGTAAAAGAGTTCCCGGACGGTAGAGCCCTACTACGAATAGATCCAGTAAAAGCTGGACGAGACGACGCCACGTACGAATGCGTAGCTGAAAATGGTGTCGGCGATGCCGTTAGCGCTGAGGCCACGCTACAAGTTTTCGAAGGTAAGTCGATCCTATTATATTATTTTCCATTGTAAGCGGCAACAATGGACTATTAATGCAAGTTTTCGAAAAAGGCTTCGAGCTTTCGGCAAGTTGCCGCAAGGCTTATTAATAAAGTTTTCCTCACTGGTTATTATATGAGCGTCGAATGGATTTAATTTTACAAGGGAAAAGTTTTAAAATAATTTTTCTTGGGATTATTTTTTTTTTTTTTTGGCGCCAATTAACCTAATTAATATTTTGTGGGCTGTGGCACATACAAAAAGTAATTCACAAGTCACTAGTAACCAGAAATCTAGTGCCAATTGGGCACAATTTTAGAAAACACGATTCGCCTTTTTTTTTCGTCCGGAATTGGAACAATACCCGTAAAATTTCGGGTCGAACTTTTCATATTCCGCAATTTCATTGACCACGTCGAGCCGAAAACTAATCGTTTTAACGTAGCGCAAAAAAATGCTGCAAAACGTACATACGTACAAAATCAGCATATTATTTTCAATTCCAAAAACGTCATCTTTCATTCTATTCTTTTGTGATTCAGTCTGGGGTGCGAAAAGAAGAAAACGTATTACCGTTTACGATTTTTTTCATAAGAGCTTTGACACGGATTGTGAGGTTTCAACCGCGAAATTCTCATTTTTATTCAAATTCAGTTAGCACCATATCGTATAATCTAATAGCGAATCCCATTCGAAAACGCTGTTACTTTTTATTTTTGAGTTTTATTTCCATATATGTATGTTGATGATGTTTATCTCTCTTTGCATTTTGCAACAAGTACCTACCTCTTGAATTATTTTATCCTTGCGTAACAAAATTTAAATTTAGTAGTCAAGCTTAAGTACTCCATTTACCTCTAAAATAAATTAATTTTTGAAAAATATTTATATCATATTCCATTCAATTACGTTTGGGGCGGAGGTCTAATGTTAAAAAATACAGAGGAGAATCTTAAAAGCTCATTTAATACCGAGAGAGGCGAACTTTTATACTTTCTAATAAAATTAATGAGTTCATATTCTTTCGCTGGGAGTTTTTAATTTAATGAACCAGGAACGCGAGGAACGGCAACCGAAACACACAAAGTTCGCGTTGCATCATAATGGAAGTCCTGTGTAAAGGCAATTCTCTGGCTCTTTGAAAAAAAAATCCTGGTAATAACGAATATAATTTTTAATTATTTGCTAATGATTCATTGTTTAGATTTGTAATTGGGCGTAACCATTCTGTATATGTAGGTTCATGTTCAATGACATCTTAGCACAAACTGATGTTTGTTGTAATGACAAGACCCCCCCTTGGGCTAGGAGAGATGGATTTGGGATAATTGCATTCATAGGTGTGGTCGTCTGTATACTGACTTCTTTTTTAACGACGTTGCCAGTAGTCGTTTTTAGTTTTTGGAAAGCAAAGTCATAACAGAATAAAATCTATGATAATATGTGATATGTTTGCGTATAAAGAAAAATACACAAAGGAAAACAATAATAATAATTAGAATCGTTCTGTAGAATGCGCCGCCCTTTTCCTAAATAACGACTGTGCACTTTAGTTTATAATCCTGTGTGAAGCGGCCTTTGCACGTCTGTAAATGCATGTATATTAAACGGAAAACGTTTGGGATTTTCTGCTATTTGAACACGGATTATATGGCTCTCGCATATAGAAAGGACCTCTCGCTATTTCCAAATTGAAATTCAACTCTAAATATTTATTGGGCTTGTGTTTCGTTTTGGGCAATCAAAAATCTTTTCCGCGTCAATAAGCGATTTTAAAATTTTTGTCCAACAATCAAAAGTATTAAGCGAGATATTATACTGGGAACTTTATTTCATTATTACGAAATTAATTCCCGAAGTTCCCCGAGGAGCTAAATTTCTATTATCACAAGGGAAATTTACATAAAACTAATTTAGAAAGACAATAGTTGATTACACGTCGTCGGAAACCATAACTGGATTTTGTGCCGCAGCGATTTCATTATTGCATTTAATAAAATAAACCACCTCTATTATTAATTATTCTCGGCTCAGACAGGGAGAGAATGAATCCTTTTGGGATAAAGAATGGACCTTAGACATGGAGCTTGATGTGAATTGAAAATCGAATAAATAAAGACACTGACCCTTTGATTATTTTTAACAATGCAATTAAATTTTTAGGATTATATTTAGATGAAAACTCAAATTGGAAACAACAAATTGATTATTTAAGAAAACATATTTCATATGTCATTGGAATAATATATAGAGCTAGAAACTTTAAAGTTAAATACTAATGATACCACCGATTCACAGAGTTTTTTACCTAATATAAAGTTTAGGAGATGCCTATTTGCAAATAGAATTTTCAGCCTTATATACGTTGGTTGCTTGTGTCAAAGTTTGTAAACCGCAACGATTTATCTATGGTAACGCCCAATTTACATTATCTGAAAAATTCAACAGTTGATCTTCTATGTTTATTTTTAGATTTTCTTTCAATATGTCTCTATTTTGATTTTGACAAAAAAGAATTATTTTGTTTTTTTTCTGCATTTAATCTCAAGTTGTGTGATTTAGAGAATTTAGAAATTCTAATGAAATATTGACACCAAAAGAAAAGTATGCAGTAGATGCGTGTCATCTGCATATGACTGCAAGTGAGAACGAATAACTTCTTCAAAGATGTTTGAAGTATATGACACAAACAACAAAGGTCCTAATATGAAGCCTTGTGAGGCACCATAGGTTACTACTTGAGGAGTCATTATTACTCCTTTGGAAAAATTCGAATTTTCAAATTTTTGAATTTTGCAATGTTTGACTTTACTAATCAAAAGAGGAGATCAAAATTAGTGAAAAAGTTTTTGCAATTTTGTTTTTAGAGTTTTAAAGCCTTGTAAAAAAATAAAAACGATTTTTGTAATTTTTTGGCTCAAAAAAATTTCAATAATCTGAAATTTTTTCACAAAATTGCTGATTACTCGGTTATTATTGTAACAAACATAATGTAAAATTATATATTCTAAATCAGAATTAAATTATCTTCAAAATAAAATAAGATTCAATTCTATGTCTTAAATACTTTTGAAGATATTGAGGCTCAAAGTTGAAACTTTACATCAAATTTTGCAAAAGCTTCCAGGCGGATTATGTTGAAAACGAAGCCCTTGGGCTTGGAGTCTTAAATTACCTTTTTTGTAGCCCTTATTAAGAGCTACAATTGGGCAAAAGATTCATGCCAATAGCTTCACTGGTTTCCAAAATACAAGCATTTGAAATATTTGAAAATCCAATTTCCATGCTTACCCCTTTGGAAAAGTTCGAATTTTTAAATTTTTAGATTTTCCAATTTTTGACTTTACTAATCAAAAGAGGAGGTAAAAATTAGTGGAAAAGCATTTAAGTAACTTTGTTTTTAGGGTTTTAAGGCTTGTAAAAAAATAAAAACGATATTTGCAATTTTTGGGCTCAAAAAAATTCAATAATCTGATATTCATTCACAAAATTGCTGATTATTTGGTTATCATTATAACAAATATGATTTAAAATTATATATTCTAAATCAGAATTAAATTATCTTCAAGATAAAATAAGATTCAATTCTATATCTTAAATACTTGTGAAGATATTGAAGCTCAAAGTTGAAACTTTGTCTCAAATTTTGCAAAAGCTTCAAAGCCGAAGTCTTGAATAACCTTTTTTGAAGTTCTTATTGAGAGCTACAATTGCCAGAGTCCCAGCTAGAACCCGAAAAATGAGAATAGAGATAAAAAGTCAAAAAAGTTGACAGAAACTTTTTCTGATAATTTTTCTTGGAATCTAATAATTTTGTTTTCAAATTCTGATAATTTTAAATTTGCCATCTGACAACACTGCTTGTAGATTTCGAGATAAAGTATACGCCCTTCTCAAACGGGCCACCCTGTACACCTCCTCCACGCCTTCTATCACTGCGCTCCTTTCAAGAAAATAAATAGTCAGAAACATTTACAAAATTTTGTTGAATAGCATCAGTAAGTCAGGTTTCAGTGGCTGCAAAAAAGTTATACCTACTGATTTATTAAAGAATTTGTTTCGGCAAATCTGTTTATTAGAGATCTAGCATTTATTGCTCTATTAATCGCATTTATTGCTTTTGTACTTAATTGCATTGGTTTTGTACTAACCGCATTGCTTTTTTACTAATTATATTGTTTTTGTACTGACTTTAGTTTTTTAGTATTAGCATTAATAATACTGTCATTGATTTTACATCGACAATGGAGCATAACTAGAACAGATAGCGCGAGTGCAGTTAGTTTTAGTTCAAAGTTAGTGCAAGGTCGATCTGCACTGATTTTTCATTTATTGTACTGACTGACCTTGTTTTAATTACACTAACATTGACACTAACCGACTCTTAGACAAGGAAAGAGAGAGGACGCGGAACATCTTTTACCTGCACTAGCAGCTGGTTGTGACCGAATGCCACCAAATAATGGCGACAAACTTTCATGGTGTCTCTATGTGAATTTTAGTTCAGACTAACATTTTTTGTGGTATTCAGCAGGGGCGCCCGCAGAAAAATATGTAGGGGGGGTCAAAATCATTGAATAAATTTTTTATGCGTAAAAAAGGGCACTTCAGTCTAAATTATCATTTTAGAAGCAGAATCAGAACTTTAAATGCAACATTTGCGAAGCAAAATTTTAAAAAAAAAGGCAGTTTGAAGAGACACAAACTAACACACTTGGACGAGAAGAATTTTAAATGCAACATATGCAATGCAAAATTTGAAGAAAAATTCAAATTAGGAAAATTTGAACAAAAAGGTAATTTGAAAAGTCACATATCAACAGACTTCGATAGTTATCTTTTTGAATGTGACATTTGCAAAGCAAAATTCAAAGGAAAAGACTTTTTAAAGAGACACAAACTAACACAGTCTGATATTTATCCTTTTAAATGTGACACATGCAATGCAAAATTTGAACTCAAACGTAGTTTGAAAAGCCACATATTAACACACTCGGG